TAATCTCAGCAAAGAAGAATGTGTCCAGAGGACCTGAGTCAACCTTGGTAGATTGAATTTGAAAACATTTTAGTTCTGTACACGTTTAACATAGAATTGATGTTACTTTTTTGCACATTGGTATCCTGTGTTTACTGCACAGAGGCAGAACAGGAAGTCAATGTTGATATGCCTCTGAGAAAACAACTAAGGTATTCAAAGAACTGAAACACGTGTAAAAGGGGAAGCTGTTTCTGATGACAAGAGGTGAATGCGACCAGCATGCTGGGAAAATAAAAAAAGCAATAAACCACCAGCAATGAACCATATGACAGCACAATCGAAACTGGCTGTTGTGAAAATTTTGAACTAACTGGACTCATGCAAATGCCACCACAGAGTCCATCTGCTACTGTTCTGAAGAGAGTGGAATAAAGAAAGGGTTGTGCATGATGCATATGTTATATGTCAGGGTACTACTAGCTGATGAATTATCAGTTATCATCACTCTTCCTGCAAACCCACTATACTGAAAGGCTGCATAAAAGCACATAACAAAACTGGAACAGGTCAGCTTATTGGGCTGCTTGTGAGAGCATATGTGGCTTAGGGGTGGTTCTATACCTAAATGTCAACGTCAATGTCTATTGTATTTATGTAGGACATTTAAAAACAACTATGTTGACCAAAGTGCTTCACAAACAGTAAATCAGCAATAAAATAAAAAAGATCAAACATTAAAAACACACGTTTAATAAAATGGACTAAGAACAAACTAACACAATAAGATAACAACCTAAGAGGTTCAGATGGAACTCAAAAAACAAACAAATTAAAAGCTAGAGCAAAAAAACCCCAAAAAGTTTTCAGGAAGGATTTAAAGGACTGTATGGACTCTGCAGAACAAATATCAAAATAATAACCAAATAACAAATAATAATAAATGACAACTGAGAGGAAAACCAACCTTTAGCTGTTTATTTTTTATATTGGTTTGTTTTTCATTCATTAAAGCTGATCTTGGAAGGATGTATGGATGGATGTATGGATGGATGCATGGATGGATGCATGGATGGATGAATGGATGAATGGATGGATGGTTTCACAATAAACACCCTTCAGTTAATCTTAGGTTCAAAGTAACACTTTGACTTTTTAAATGTTTAGTTTTTTTGTTGTAAATGATAATAACCATTGAAATGCTGCTCAATAAGATCCAACAAATGAAGAATATATGTATAAATATGATCAAGAGTATACAGTACATATCCATATTATTTATGTTTATCTTTTGCAATCTGATTGAAAATTCTTGCATTTTGTTGTGAAACTAAATATTTATTAAAATGACTGGAAATGAGCAGTATAATCTAAACTAAACTAAAATAAATGTGACTTAACTCGCTGCGCACATTCTTTTGTACAGCTTGTGCAAAATGTCACAACTCTTTTTAAGGTTATAAACGGAACTTTATTATTTGAACAGGAAGCTCATATTGTTTTACTGTAAAACACCTTTTGTGATGCAAAAGCAAAAATGTTAGTGAAGCTGCCATACATTAGTACATAATGATTCTTTTCCTTCTGTTTTATGTGACACAACTTAAAACATCCACCACTTATATACAGCATTTCTGACAGGTGGAAAGTAAACTCCCATAAGAGCTACTCAGAATAGCTGTTTTCACACCTGTGGGGTGATATGTTTCAGAGAATGTGCAGTGCACACTTCATAGCAGAAGACTTTCTGCTGGAGATGTGAAATCACAGCTGGAGAAATGAGGGAGAGGTTGAGGGAAAGTGTCTGTTTTAAACACAATGCAGGCAGGTCATGATGTGCAGAGTGGAGATCTTTGTGTTTTGTTGGCTGTATGGGGAGGACGGTTGAGGCTTCTTGATGGCAATCCAAAGAATATTAAAATGCAAAGTAGAAAGTAAACATGGGCTGGTATGAGATTCAGACGGAGCGATACTTTTGGGAAAAAAGAAAAATCACAGTTTAAAGCAATTAAAACAAAACATGTATCAGATTTGATTTTATTTCAAAACAAAATTGCTATCACTATTACCTTTGCTGCCTAAATAATATCACATATCACTTTATAATATCAGCGATGAAGATGATGATGAGGGTGAAGACACAGAAGAATGTCAAAGTTCATGCTCAATAATCCAGATAAAGAAATCCAACAATGTTCAGACAGGTCATCTGGACAGTTTCCTTTTTTGCTGAGATGTTTCGTCCTTCATCCAAAGGACTTCTTCAGAAGGATGAAATGTCAGAAGAACCTCAGAAGACTGTGGGAAAAGTACATAAAAAAAAGTCCAGAATCATCAGCTAAAAAACCAACAAGACGCCCGTGAAACCAAACGGCCCTGCAGGAAACCTGCCAGGATCGGCAACCCAACCTCAGGAAAAGACACACTTCAGGCTGGCCCTTCTTAATCTCCATCTCTGTCTGAGATTAGCAATAAACAAGCAACAGCTGCCGAACAGGGGAAACCACTACTGAAGACAGAACAGAAGTTTGAAAATTATGCCAGGACTATTCATAAAGTCACAGACAAAAGTGTGGTCAAAGATCTCTGGAGTTTTCTGCAAACGCTGAAGAAGTAACAATAAGAAGGAACATTTCTGTGTTTTCCTGAAGACATTTAAAGGCACAGTCAACACAATCTTATCTAGTCAGTACTTCTAACGGTCAGAAAACAAAAACATATAAAAAAGAAGAAATGATTCTTTGTTCTGTTTCACTAACATCAGGTGAACTAAGCCCTGAATTCTGTGCCAAGATGGTTTTAATCTGCTCCTCCTTTTAAGTATACCTGTTACCTGAAATGTATTTTATTATAGGGAGAAATATATCATAAGTATTTTATTATAGGGAGAAATATATCGTAAATGTTGTGTAAACAGGTCTCTCTTGTAAATGAGTCCTTGAGGCTCAATGAGACTAAACTGTATAAATAAAGGTTGAATTGCATTGAAAAAAAATTGGAATATGAAACTGCAACAACAGGATTTTACTCACTTTTTTTTGACAATTTACTTCTACTTCTTGACACTTTATCACTGCTTATTTGTGTGCAGCAGTGCAGGATCTGAAATGTCTCCAAAGATCAAAGACAACAAGGATCTGGTTAAGAAGACCAAGAACCCTGAGGTGGGGAAGCTGACTGAAGCCGACAAGGCTAGCACTGGGCGGGTAGGTTCATGTTTTATGTGGCAAATAATATGAGAGCAAACAATTCAGCTTCAGATATCTAATCATCTAAAAACATCTTGGTTTGATATCAGGAAATAAGTGTTGAATTTAAATATTAAATGTAAAGGACATTGAATCAAGCAATTTATACAGAGAAAAATGGTGAAATATGAGAATAAGGGGTATAAAGGTATGCCTGAGCCTCAGTGTGAGTGTCATGGTTAGGAACTACAGGAATAGTCTTCTTTCATCTCTTTCTTTAAAAAAAATAAATAAATAAATAAATAAAAAAAATACAAAAAAAAAACAAACAAAAAAAATTGAGCGATGATGATAAGTTCATTGAAACACTTCACAATGTTTCTACACTTAAACTGAGCTCAAGAAAAAAAAAAAAAAAGGAACTACAGGAATAGCCAGCTATAGTGCATTGGTATGCACTATGATATGATATATCTATGGATTTCTTGAAGGGAATATCTAAAATATAATCCTAAAGAATGTTCTGAAGCACTTTTCAGAGCAGAAATAACAATCAATGACTTTCAGCAGAAAAGCTTTGAATTTTTACAACTTTCCCTGCATGCTAGGAAAGGTATTTTCAATTCTAGCTGGGAACTCCTGATATCCAAATATGACTTGAGGTTTCCTCTTTCAATTGACGTTAAGAAATCCTCTTTAGAGTGTGCTAAAAATTGGATTCAGACCAATTATCCAGGGGTTAGCAAGACGACTCAAACCACATTTCTGGAATATTACTTTTCCTTAATCTAAATGAGGAGAGGCTTGGTTTACTGTCTTCCATGACTAGATTTGATTCTCCCCACCATAGTCTTGAACTTGCTCTCTCCTCCCTCCTCAGGTCAAGCTGTCTGTCTTCTGGGCCTATCTGAAAGCTATTGGAGTTCTCCTGTCCTTCATCAGTCTGCTGCTGTTCCTCACCCATCACCTACTCTCTCTGTTCTCCAATTACTGGCTGAGCCTGTGGACCGACGACCCTGTAGTGAATGGCACTCAGCCTAACAGATCAATGAGGCTGGGGGTGTACGGTGGTCTCGGCTTGACCCAAGGCAAGAAAGAATGCATTAAAAAAGAATTGTTAAGTAATTCTATGTTATAATCCATTACACCTCCCTATGCTGCCCTGCAGGTGTGGCAGTCTTTGGTTACTCTCTCTCCATGTCCATCGGGGGCATCCTGGCGTCCCGTTACCTCCACCAGTCCCTGCTGTGTGACGTCCTGCGCTCACCCATGTCCTTCTTTGAGCGGACCCCAAGTGGAAATCTGGTCAACCGCTTTGCCAAAGAGATGGACACCATCGACTCAGTGATCCCTATGATTATTAAAATGTTCTTGGGATCAATGTTCAACGTAATGGGCTCTTGTGTAATCATCCTGATGGCCACTCCACTGGTGGCTATTATCATTCCTTTCCTTGGACTGCTTTACTTTTTTGTACAGGTTAGTTGAAAAGACAAGCCTCCAGTTTCTGTGTTGCTCTGTGTTTTAGGAGATTCAGACATTTTAAAGAGGGGTTCTGTGTGAATGTTGATAATTAATATCTTACCTGTTGTAGATAGCTCTTAATGACTTCATTTTAAAGCTATAAAGCTTATTTCTGGCAGGTCCAGTGAGCTAAGAGCTACTTTGAATACATCTAAGACCATTAGAGACAGCAGAGATTTAAAAGTGGGTCCACATGAACCACATTAAAAAGTTAATAGCATTTTCTATCAGAACCACTTACAGTTAAAAAAAACTTCAGTATTCAAAATTTCAGAGCAGGTTATGCAAACCTTTACACCGTTTTCATTTTTACACAGTTGTATTAGCTGGACTCTTATGAATTTCCTGCATGAAGTGACCCCAGTGATGCAGCTAGCTGCTGCTGCTGTGTGACTTCAGAATTTTATGTTAATAATAGAGCCCGACCAAAATGGAAATTTTCGCTATCGCTGATACCGATATTGGGAGGCGTAGGCGACTGCCGATAACAGATATAATGTCAGAAAATTTTGCTCTTTGTCCACCCTCAAGAAACTAAGAAAGCTGGGCTTATTTATTTAGAGCAGCTGTTAGCAACCATGAAGCTGAGCTAATCAGATCCATCGTTAATTAGTCCCACTGTGCAGTCTTTTGTTCAAAGACAAAGCTAATCACGTGAGTAAGTTACTTAAATAAGTTCATAGTTAATCATTAGTTTATGTGAATTCATGCTAAAAACTGTTAAAATGTTTTGGGTTTGAATTCCAGTCAGAGTGAGACATCTCACTTTCATCATATTGTACATGCAACACGTGAGGTAGTGAGTGTTCACACCACAGAACAATCTTTGACATTTTCTCTAAAACAAGAGTGTCATAAAATAAGGGAGGAAACAGCTCATATACACACTACATGCTTGTGCCTTCGGAGACTTTAATCTTTTTACAAATTCATGAATGAAAGGTCTTAATAAAATCAAGAAAGGAAGCCTTGTCTGAGGACTTATTTTATTTTCTTCGCTGCCTAGCTTCACAGTCACGTGTTGTAAATGGTAAATGGACTGCACTTATATAGCGTCTTTCTATCTTATTTCAAGATACTCAAAGCGCTTTACACTACAATCTGTGCCCTCATTTACCCATTCATACAGCACTCTACTAGATCTCTACAAAGCTAATTGAACAAATCATTCTAAAGAGACTAATCAGAGCTTTTGATCACATTCATACACCGATGGGACACACATCAGAGGCTATGAGGGGTTTAGTGTCTTGCCCAGGGACACTTGGGCATGTGACTGCTGGTGGATTCTAACCCCCAACTCTCGCATTGGAGGACGACTGCTCTAACCACTCAGCCACAGCCGCCCCTTGTGAGGACAGCATACCCACACTAACATTAGCTTGCTAACTTGAGAGGCACGTAGCTAATGCCAAGTGGGTTGGAGGACTGAAGAGAATTTATTATTGTGGATTTTTTATTTATTGTACAGATCAGCTAAAATAAACTTAGCATGGTCTGTAGCAAAACACACTACATAGTATTGCTCCCTGCTTCGTCTGTGCTGAAAGACAACAGGGAAACTTAAAGTGAACGGTCATGACTTGAAGGTAGTATTCATGCTCCCTCTGCTGGATACATTGTACAATTATGGCTGGTTCCAGCATTTTAGGGGTGAAAGGTAGAAGTGTTTATATCGGCGCATAATGAGACATTTATCTCCGATACTGATTCAGGTCTAATAGGTCTACTAATCAGGTCTCTCTTGTAAATGAGTCCTCGAGGCTCAATGGGATTTACCTGTCTAAATAAAGGTTGAATGATTCAGATGCAAAAAATCCAATCCGACCCGGCCCTAGTCCATAGCCATCATTTCTGAACCACACCTGATCCGATGAATTAACAGTAATTACAGGTTCGAACCCGAAAAAAAAAAATAATTTAAATTAAGCTTTGACTGCTTATATAGTTGTTAATTGTCGACGGACGCGCGCGGCTGAACAAAAGGGAGCCGAAGATAGGAGCTGAGGGGGTGTTTGGCCTTTCATGGCCGCCAAAGCGCATTAAAACACTGCTTTTGCCTGCATTCTGCATTATTCAGACACGGACCCTGCTCTGACATGTCGGGTATTTTATGATCTCACCTGTTTGGGTCGTCAGCTGCGCACGTTCGCTGAGTGCAGTGGCTAAATGAACGTCCATTTTGGTGATGGATTGCTGGCAGTATAGTCCCATCTGAAGTTTAACTGAACGTTTTACTTCTTTCAAGGCCGGTCAGTGCGCGTTCAAATGGCCGTGTGCGGCTGGTGATAGTATAGCAAACCATATCGTCATATAATTGGAACTTCAGCTGTGCGCGTCCGCTGATGTTATCAAAAGCCTGACACAACCCAGCCCGCACATTAAGCACATTATTATGGACCAGACCGACCCTAATTCGGGTCGGGCGGTGCCGGGCTCCGGGTTAAGGTTAGAAATGACAGCTCCTATACTGATAGGTCCCCAAACTTTTATATTGGCCAAAATTATCAGACCTACTGATATATCGGTCAGGCTCTATTTAATAACTGTGTATTGCAAAATTGATGTCAAAATAAAAGTTTACAAAATAGTGTTTGCATGAACAGGTATTAGTATTTGGTCTTAGCTGTGTTAGAATTAGACTTTAGCTCATCAAGCCTAGAATTAAACTTTATTTCTTCAAAATGAGGTTCTTCAAAAAGTATCTACAACAGGTAAGATCCTAATTGTTGCCGTTTTAGAGCACCTATCTTCAAAATGGCTGGAATACTCCTTTAACTCCAGTCATTTTTATTTATTTATTTATTTTCTATTTTCATCAATCGTTTCTTTCTGTTCAGAGATTTTATGTGGCGAGTTCTCGGCAGCTGAAGCGTCTGGAGTCCGTCAGTCGTTCGCCCATCTACACGCACTTCAATGAGACGCTGCTGGGCACCTCAGTCATCCGAGCTTTTGGGGAACAGCAGAGATTTATCTGTGAAAGTGACAAACGAGTGGACCACAATCAGAAGGCGTACTACCCGAGCATAGTAGCCAACAGGTCAGAGACTCCCCCAGGGTTCCTTTTTCTCCTCTTTGCGTTCCTGAGAGGAAAAAACAGCCAAAGGAAAAAGCCAATATAAATTAAATTTTTGATCCCATATTTATCATATAATGCATTCCTCTCAGTATTGTTTTTTTTTTTTTTTTTTTTTTTTTTTACCTCCATGTCTATACTTGAAATTTTTACATTAGCCCACTAAGTGGTACAGTAGTCCCTCGTTTATCGCAGGGGGATCCATACCCTGAAGACCAGGGATAAGTGAAAAACCTTGAAGTAGGAATAGTAGTACAAGTAGTAAGTAA